CGAACTGGTCCTGGCACTAACTTACCTTCGGCTATAGGTGCTTTGTTGAGTAGTCACTTCGGGTTTTTTTGTCTCGATTTACCAACGAGTTTTTAGTCCTTATTGATATATCAGCTGGTTTGTTGCTGTTGTTGTTGTTGTTTTATCCATTTGTTAGTATTTTGGGGAATTTAATGTTTTGGGTGTGTGGGATAGCAACGAATAATAAAACTGAAAATTTAGACTTTTTAAATTTTGCATGGCACCTCCATCCACCTGCGGGAAGTATAAATTTTCTGAACTTTGTGACAACTGCATAGTTATCGACTAGACATTAAATCTATTAAGAGAAACGCTACAGATACATCAGCTATCTTTATTAATATATATTTCGACTGTGATATGAACCATTACAACGTCTAAAATCAGTAAAAGTAACAAAAAGCTGATGTTTTCGGCAACTACGGCTGCGTCCGAACCCGTCATAAATGGACAGATTGTCATACATAAACCGTTACTCGACCTATATGTCAATTATTTTCCTCTCCTGGCTAATATGTGATTACTGTATCTCTGTTTGAGATGACGTTATCTGCATCAATAAAAGTATGGATGCCACTTTTTTTTCTTTCTTTCCTTTAATAGTTTTAATTATGAGTGAATTTTATCAATCGTTTTTGTTAACATGTTTCCTCATACATCAAGTATCATTATTGTATATAATCATTATCATTATTTATGATTTCATTCGATAGTGATGGCAAGCGATCTATCTATCTACTGTCTCTCTCTCTCTCTCTCTCTCTCTCTCTCTCTCTCTCTCTCTCTCTCTCTCTCTCTCTCTCTCTCTCTCTCTCTCTCTCTCTCTCTCTCCCTCTCTCTCTCTCTCTCTCTCTCTCTCTCTCTCTCTCTCTCTCTCTCTCTCTCTCTCTCTCTCTGCTTCTCTGTCTCTCTCTGTCTCTGTCTCTGTCTCTCTCTCTCTCTCTCTCTCTCTCTCTCTCTCTCTCTCTCTCTCTCTCTCTCTCTCTCTCTCTCTCTCTCTCTCTCTCTCTCTTAGACTTTAGTTTGCAAACGGCATTGCTTAGTCACTCGCATTATTATCATTATTATCATAATTATTAACGCTATCATTATCACCATTATTATTACCATTATTAGGCCTTACTGTTATTTCTGCTACCATTATCACTATCATTATCATTAGTACTACCATCACCATTATCACTATTATTATTGTTATTATTATTATTATTATTATTATTATTATTATTATTATTATTATTATTAACATTATTTTCATTGACATTACCATTAGTAGTAGTAGTAGTAGTATCATAATTATTATTATTATCATTAATCATTATCAAAATTATCACAATCGTTAATATCAATATCATTATCATTATCACCTTCGGCCTCATTAATGTCACATCATTATCATTATCGTCATTATTCATCAGCATTATAACTATCACCATCATTATTACTACGATTAGCACAAACGTTATACCATTTTCATCACGATTATATCATTATCATCATCAATATTAGTATAACTTTCTATTTTAATTAAAATTACGTCTATCATTTTCATCTTATTACAACTAACATCACTTTTATCTTCCTCAATTAATAGGTTTGTTTTTAAGATAACAATAAAGTGTAGGATAGTGTGTGTTTACGTTTACCCGTGACTACACTTTTATAAAGGTGTTTTCTGCTCCTTAAATAGATGTTGTTGTTTTTTAGAGAGAGAGAGCAAGGAGAGAGATGTCTAGGAATAATATTGAGGAAAAAAGAGTGCGTTGAATGTGCTTAGCGGGGGAAATTTTGCGATGGTTCTGACATTTGTTTTTGAAAATTCATTTTAAAAGAATGTGTGTGTTAAAATGGCGGGAAGGGGTTTGTTGAGTGATGTGCTGTAGGGAAAATTTTATGCCGATGGTGTTCATAGTTTGAAAAATCATTTAGAATTTTGGTTTCCCTTAGAGGTGAGGTAGATACGCCTAGGTATATTCACGAAAGCATGTTCAAAAGAGGGATGAGATATTCTGCTGTATGGTGTTCTGTGGGGGGAAATTTGTGATGACGATGATGAAAATTCGGGGAAAGTTAAGGAATAGGGAAGAATATGATTGGGAATATTCGCGAAAATGTGTTTTTAAAACGTGTGAGGGAATCTCGTTGATAAATTTCTCTAGCGAGTGGTATTCTGCGAGGGGAAAATTCTGCGGTGATGGGGCGAGCATTAGGGGAAAAAAAATTAAAAATGTTTTTCCTTTGTGCATGGAAGTATTTGAAAGGGAATACTGATGCAAACACGTTCGAAAAGATACTAGGGAATTTTAGTAATGAAACTCTCGACTGAGTAATGTTCTGTGGGGGAAAATCTTTGATAATGAGACCGGTAAACTCGGAGGGGGAAAAAAAGTTATATATCTTGTTCTTGAAAGACGGATATATCAAGAAATATTAATGTGAACACTTTTGATAAGATGTTAGGTGACGTAAAAAATGTCACGGGGAAATTAATGGTATCTAGAAATGAAATGATATTACGGAATTTTCGTGATCGAATGCGAGTGTTAAATGGGTTTTAGAGGAAGAAATTTGCGATAGTGATAGTATTTTAGGGGGAATTGTGCACGTGGAATGCTTCAAAATCTAGGGGGAAATAATTTTGTCTGGTTGTGATTAATTTTGTCGTGATTTGATAATAATTGACTTCAAAGTCTTGGGTACAAAATACATAATATAAAAATAACACACACACACAGTCGACCCATTTGACTGACCACAAACCACCATGTCATTATCATCATCGAAATAATCATTACTTTTGCTTTGCTTCTAAATTATCGGATATTTTTTTTTTCTCTTATTTTTATCGCAACGATTATGTTAAGAAAGAGAATGGATGAATGCGGATGATAGTGCAATGAAGAATTATGATAAAATATATATATAATACATATAACTGTAAAACTAATGGTAATGAAATATATGATAATAATAACTTTACCATCCTTGGTATTTATTATCATTGGTATCATTATTGATAGTGTTATTGTTATCAATATTATGATGCCAAAGATAAGTATATAGGTGACAAAACAATAATGGAATTAATATAGCGAACAATAACAAATATAAATCATAGTGCGAAGAATCAGTATAGCGACTATGTAACCTATGTAAATAATTTAAGAGTTAAGAGTTAAGAATAAAAGTAAAAGCTGATAACAATAGTAATATTTACTCAAATGCATAGGCCTGCAAATGTACTTGAATACACATTGCATATATTTTTAGTCCATTGAATATACATTGCATATATTTCAGTCCATTGAATATACATTGCATATATTTTAGTCCATTGAATATACATTGTATATATTTCAATTCAGTTCCGTTTACAACATTTACTCAATAGTGCAAAATCAATACCGCTTTCCATTTAATCAAGACGTGTGCTATTCAGTTCATAAATTCTTCGCATTTGCTAATATCCTCCATAAACAAGAGTGATTGTCAGTGTTTATAGTCCTTATTCACATCTGGCACAAGAGTGACTGCTGCAACTATTAATATTAATTTATTGGAAGCTTGGTTGCTTTTTTCATATATTTGATATTTTGTTCAGATGAAATAAAAAAAAAAATTGTTCGATGTTTTTTTTTCTGTCTCTTGTTTCCCATTTCTTTATATTTCATTTTTGTGTATTTAGCTATTCTTAAATACGTTAACTTATAAAAGTAATGGATTTGAAATCATGATGATGGTAATATATTACTGATTAATTATGGAAGTTTTTTTTTTTATTACGTTAATTATGTTGCCTTTGAGTTATATGTTTACAACGCCGATGGTAGTTTGACTTTGATGCATTAAAGAGAATTCGAAATTTTGATATGAACTCGTGTGTCATGTGACTGAACCGGTACTGGTTTCGAAAATGTTTTATAACGCGCAAGTGAATGCAAATAGGTATGCAAATCATCCCACTAAACTTTTATGAAAAATAGATGTGTACTTTGCATCTGTCCATACACGCGCGGATGCAGTTTGACCAAAGCGTACTTCGAAATTGCTATATACTTCAGAATCAATGATAAAAGCCTGGGAGCCACTAGATATTACAAAATGATCCATGGAACAGTATTCAGGTACATTTACTATATATATATACATATATATAAATATGTGTGTGTGTGTGTGTGTGTGTGTGCGTGTGTATATATGTGTATATGTGTGTGTGTGTGTGTGTGTGTGTGTGTGTGTGTGTGTGTAGATGGTAGATATCTTTATTTATCTCTTTCATTTCCATCAATGGAGATCCTCTCATCATGACAGGCACAAAGCCTTCCTAAACCCACTCAGAGACTATAAGCGTGTAATGTTGGGACTGATCTTATATTTACAGGGAGAGTGAATTTGTAAAGTGAATTTACTCAGTTTAATTGAGCGCGTGTGGCGGACTTCACAGACTTAAAGATCAAGTAGATCGGAGATGGAAGACAGACAAACATTTCATCCAAACTCCTCCTCCTACTACTACTACTATTACTACTACTACTGCTACTACCAGGATTGCTATTATCAGTACTACCACTACAACAACATTTACCACCGCTGCTACAACTACTACTACTGCAATCAGTAATCTTACCTTTGATACTGTTTTGGGTAGTCAATATCATTTTCGTGATGGTTTGATATATTATCATTAGGCAGTTATTTTGAACATATAGATATACATGGTCGAAGGTACTTGCATAACTCAATATCTATAATAAGCCATATATGACAGCAATCTGTTTATTTTAACATAAGCCTACTAGTTAATAAGATTGACTTGCAAAGAAAGATTTGTGACTCTCTCTCTCTCTCTCTCTCTCTCTCTCTCTCTCTCTCTCTCTCTCTCTCTCTCTCTCTCTCTCTCTCTCTCTCTCTCTCTCTCTCTCTCTCTCTCTCTCTCTCTCCCTCTCCCTCTCCTTCTCCCTCTCTCTCTCTCTCTCTCT